TTTTTATTTTTTATTTTGTATCTTTCTAATTTATTCCAAATGATAAACTTAACACTCTTGTAGGATTGTATTGAAACTATTGATGGCACACATATCCCAACATCAGTGTCCGGATACGATGTAAGCAATTATCTTAATTGTAAGGGTGTCATATCACAATATGTATTAGCTGCTTGTAACTTTGATTTGGAATTCATGTATGTCCTTAATGGGTGGGAAGGATCGGCTCATGATTCAAGAGTACTAAATGATGCTTTGACAAGAAGGAATGGACTTAAAGTGTCACAAGGTATCAAATTATTATTTATCATTTTTATTATTATTTAATTTCACATTAATCCATTGAGTTGCATACTAAAATATATATTATCAGGTAAATATTTTGTAGTAGATTGTGGATTTTCAAATAGACGTAAGTTCTTAGCTCCTTATCAAGGAATCCAATATCATCTCCAAGAGTATAGTGGTTCGGGTCGTAAGCCTAGAAACGAAAAAGAGTTGTTCAATCTTCGTCATGCTTCTTTAAGAAATGTCATCAAGAGGATATTTGGTATTTTAAAATCATGATTCTTGATTTTAAGGATTGCACTTGCATTTCCATATGCAACACAAGCGGAGGTAATATTAGTTTGTGCAGTTTATGAATCTTCTTCGTCTCCACCATTGTCAGTTTATGAAGGGGATCTTGACCAAGATTTTCAAACACAAGAACAACAACGAAATATTGCTAATGAATGGAGATATAATATAGCTTTGGACATGTGGAGAGATGCCCATAATGATAACAATGTGAATGGAGGATAATGAGTCACAAATAATTCTAGTGTGGTAGTGATGAATTTCTGATGATGTTCTTGTAATGTTAGGTTTTGTGGTTGCGTTCGAGAAAGCAAAAAAAGAAAGAAGAAAATATTACTTGTAATGATGAATTTCTGATTAATATAAGGTTTTGTGGTTGTGTTTGAAACTTGGAATTTGGAATTTCATCTAATTGCTTAGCTACTATGATTACATTATTCTTCTGTGTATTTGAGCTCATGATTGTGCTTGCTAACACTTCAAATTTATTGTTAATGGATCTCCTTTGATTCAAAACGTTTATGTTTCTTGTGCATTATTTCATTTTATGTTATAAGATTGAACTAATAAATCCTAAGAAATCCACGAAAGAAATCCATACAAATCCATAGAAATCTATAATAGAAATTCATATAAATATGTCGAAATCCATATAAAAATGAGAATATTTTAAAATCCTTTAAAATCTGTCACTTAAAAAAAGTCTATTAAAATCTTATGAAATCCAAATCGACTACACCCTATCCCTCTGCCTCAGATTGTTGTTGATTCTCATCCCCATCCTTACCGCATTTGTGGACTTCAAGTCTATGGTGGTTCTTTTCCTTGATTGATTGAGAATGACGTAGGTTGGCTCAAGTACGAAACTCAAATCCCATCTTCTACATATGTCTTGTCGAGGCTTGTTCTTTGCCTATTCCTTACTTGTTATAATGGTGGCAGCGGTTCTTGTGATAGAGGAGTAGTCAGGGTTTCTAGAGTTTGTTCTTTTGTTTTTTTTTTTTTTTTTGAAGAAACTGGAATCGATTAACCAGGGCACAGAAGCCACAAGAACAACAGAAGCCTACCCAGAGGCAAACAGCAGAGGAAACCTGGTAATGCAAGGGGATGAGAGACACAGACGCAACAAAACAACAACCAGCGTCCCCCCTCCCATTACCAAGCAAACTCAGGGAGGACAAGGGAGTCCATCATTACATAAAACATGAACCAAGGAAGATGGAGGCCTATTGACCCAAGTAAAATCACACATCTCCCTATTTCTTTGTTCTTTTGTTTTGGGCTTAAATCCTTGTATTGGCTCTTAATTTGTTGCTTGGCTGGTTCACATCTTTGATTATTACTTCACTTTGTAAATGGACCAATTGATTTACCTTTGTTTACGACAATAAATTACCATTTCCTTCTAACAAAAAAAAAAAAAAAAACAAAAAACAAAAAAAAAACAGTTTCTTCAATTATACCGATTGAAACCTCTTACCCTCGATCTGGTTTTTTACCATTCAATAGCTACATAACCCTTGTGGCTGCAATCATTGGAGTCTTCGTGACTAGATTATTGTTTTTGGTTGCAATCTTTGTACCATTGAGTGGGAATTTGGGTGTGTTTTTGAGTCCTAACTTATATAATAAACACCAAAACAAAACGTATAGTGCGTACCAACACCCAACTCCCATGGTTGCTGTGTCGGCTTTGATCTTAAATGGTCTTGTCCTCCACCTGGGCTCAAACTTAATGTGGATGGAGCCTGGTGCAAGGAGACTAATCTGGGTGGTGTGGGGTTGATATTTCGGGATGCAAATGGAACTTGTGTGGCTGTTGCGAGTAGGAGATTTGGGGATATCTTCTCTTCTATTTACATTGAAGCACTTGCAACTAGAGAGGGTCTTTTGATGGTGTTCAAAAGGGATTTACAAAACATTTCGTTGGAAGGTCATTCGCTTTAGATCATTTCTGCATTAAAGGAGTCTTCTACGAATATGTCTACTACCGGACCTATCATTGAATATGCCAAATCCTTATTGTACTTGGTCATTGAAGCTACTGCGTCCCATGTTCATCATCAAGTTGACTATGTTGCCCATAGGCTTGCTCGTTTTGCCCTCTATGGAAGTGATTGTACTTGGTTTGATGAAACCCCCTCATTGATTTGTGATTTAATTGAGGAGTATTGCTCCATCCCTTGTACTGAGTAGCCTATTCCTGAATTTTAATGAAATCCTAATGTATTTTATCCACACAAAAAAAAAAAAAATTAGGATTCATTTTCAACACAACAATTTGATAAGCTTGCTAGGGTGAAAACAAATAAGTGTTCATACAAATTTCACATTCATCATCATTATTGTAATTTAATTCGCTATTCAATCAAGTGACTACTGACTTTTCATGTTTCTGGGTCTATCAACGCGTATGACAACAAATCTATAGGAGCATTAGAAATCGTGGTTTCCTTGTGGCATATCCAACAACTGTCTCCTTATCTTTCTCGTCCCGCCCAAGAAAATCCAGTGCCTTCACATTGACTAGTTACAACTTTTCATGACTCACCATCTTTCCATGCAAGTTTTCAAAGAAGCTAAACAAAAGTCTATGAACTTTAGCCCAATTATAGCCTTAGTCTTTGTGCTAAATATATGTATGCATGTATTGATCTTTGAACTTGTTATAATGTGAAGTAATAGTCATTTTTACTAATTACGTTAAAATTTTCATCCAATTTTTGTCGTTTTAACCCTTTATTTTGAATGAAAGTTGTAACGGAGTTTGCTAAAAGAAATATTGTTCCACATTATAACAAGTTCAGGAATCAATACTCACGAAATTTTAGTTCAGGAACCAAAGCTCCAATTGAGCTAAAGTTGAGGACCATTGCTACAATTACCTTGAGATAGTTTGACAGCACGTCACATTTTCTTGTGGTCTCCTAAACCCAGGTTAAATCAACCAACAAAAGGGACGTACGCCGAGGGAATCCCATGTCAAGCACTCCAGGTAAAATCTGTAACAATATATATGCATTGGGCTAGCATATACATGCCTATTGAGCCTTCTTCCAAACAACAACATTTTTTTTGTCAAACGATAAATTTAGTTGAAAATGACTTGTAATCGAACGGTTCCATTAGTGTCGGCAGCTAAGATGTTAAACAATAATCACATCGGTTCAAAACGATCCCAAAGAAAACTCCCCTCTTCCTTCCAAACACCAGAGCATGCTTTTATACGTACGTTGCTTGCTGTAAAACAGCTAAGCTACCAGCCAGAGTTTGGAACAACGGAAGTTCACGTGCTGGTTGTTATGCAAAATACAACAAACAGCGATCTATCATCTATGGACAAAAGAATACAAGCATTAATTGGATCAAGAATCGGCAATATCCCATCACCTTCTTATATTGTATGTATCTGCATTTGTCATCTTTCTCAAGATGGTGATTCTTTCCTTTTTTATCTTTCCATTTTCAAGCTATTTTACCATTCTTCTTTTCATCAATTTATTTTAGGGTACAAAAAGAGGACAACTAGTGACAAGTTATGGTTATCCACATTTTCCGGATATGGGGAGGCTATGGAGAAGTTATCCACCTCTTCCTGGTCTGGAGAGGTTATGGAGAATTTCACCATGTCCATGGCCACAGTTAAGTAGACCCCTCAGCTCGAAGCATCGAACTCAGGACCTCCACATTTTTTTGTTTATTGGGAAGCCGCAATCCGCAACCTTTCCACTAGGCCACTTGATGTGGTTATCGATTTAGGTAATCTAATTGTTCAATCCCCAATTTCTGTCTGTCTGTTAGGAGTCTCTTTCATCTTGGGTGGTGTTATAATGAATTTTGTTCTCCATGCCAGAGAGTAAAGCGTTGTGTGTCATAGGAAGGAATATTTCACTATTTTGCAATTATAACATTTGTCCTCTCTCTCTCTCTCTCTCTCCCCACCCACCACCCCCCACCCCTTTTCTCTCTCTCTTCTATCCATGCATCTCTCCTCCTCACCGATCCAACCCTCTAGCTCTCTCGAACAGTTATACTATACGTTATTACTTAAATCTGAAGCCACCCATGTCCTTTTCTCGTGTTCACATTAATTTATCCAAGGGCATTCTTGCCAATTCAGCTTTGTGTCAGCAAATGATTTTTCTCTGTACTTCAAACACTCTTGTAACTTAATACTATGGTCTAGTAATATTTATTTTCATTTGTAAATCAGAGATTTTAGGTTCGATTCTCGTCAAATGCGAATTTGGACCATATTATTGCTAGTTTATTGAGAGCTCACTCTCCTATCCTCTTAATATAGATAATATCGTTTGTTAAAAAAAATTATATTGCTACGTGGTGTTACAATTCTTATATTGTAATACATTTATTCATAACACGTAAAAAAATCCATCATTATCAGTGTTTGAGGTACACATATAAATTCATCCATACGAAACACCAAAAATCACTTTTACTACTCTGTCATGTCAAGTGTAAATACATCAAGTTTATATATCTCATTAACTAGACATTCCATTTACCACTGCATCAAAAAATGATGAAGAACCCAGACTTGGAAGAATCTATCAGTTTCCCGGGAAAACCCTCCCAATTCGCCGCCGAATGCTGGTTCGATGATGCATGCATACTCGACATGGACTACTTCGTCAAAACCCTAGCCGGAATTAAAGCCAAAGGTGTACGTCCTGACCTCATCGGTTCCATAATCACCCACTACGCATCCAAATGGCTCCCTGACCTCTCCGGCGACAGCAACATTTCCGACCAAAAGAACCTAACCAACTTCTCATCCTCTCCTGAAAGCATCACCGGCTTGTGGATGAGAAAACGCTTCTTCGTTGAAACCCTAGTGGGAGTCCTCCCTCCCGAGAAGGACTCCATCCCATGCAACTTCCTCCTCCGCTTGCTCCGCACCGCCAACATGGTGGCTGTGGAGCCCGCGTACCGGGCGGAGCTGGAGAAGAGGATATCATGGCAGCTGGACCAAGCCTCGCTGAAAGAGCTCATGATACCGTCTTTTAGTCACACATGCGGGACTTTGTTGGATGTTGAGCTTGTGACTAGGTTAGTTAAGAGGTTTGTGAACTTGGATGAGGCGGCTAAGAGCGGAGCCGCCATGGTGAAGGTGGCGAAGCTCGTGGATTGTTATCTCGCCGAGGCCGCCCTGGATGCGAATTTGAGCTTGAATGAGTTTGGAGCGCTTGCTGGGGCTCTGCCTAGCCATTCCCGTGCCACTGACGATGGCTTGTACCGAGCAATTGATACATATCTCAAAGTAAGTTCTTATAGTATTTGATTGATTAGGGTTCAGTTATTTCTGCACTTTGTTCCAACAAATAATTTCCATTTTGTTTTTATAAACGTGGAATGCAAACAACAACATCCAATAATTCAACTATTACTTTCTTAATTAGGTTAGACTAATTGATAAATAATAGGTTTGTGTTCAATGAAAAAAAATCAATTATTGGTTTCCATTTTTTGGATATATTTTTTTAGCAAACAATATTATCTACACTAGGGGGAGTGGGTGAACTTAACTTCACAATTGGCTAGCAGTAATGTGATTCAAATTCAACTTTGACGATAATAGAACCTAAGTCCTCTCACTTAAGTAAAAAGAAATGTCAATAGACCGTAGTATTAAATGATCCCAATTTTTGGATATTAGCTAGTTAAGACAGTATGAATGAGTGTGAATACATATATGTGTTTTATTGAAAACAACGTAACGGAAGAAATGAAGGGTGAAGACATGACATGAACAAGGAATCTTATCTCTTTGCGTCCTAAATATATAATGGGACATTTTGGATGCAGTCCTTAACTATCAATATTCTTTGATTGAAACCTTGTTAGTTTTTAGTTTTTGATTGAGGTCCCTGATATTAATGTAATAATGTAAGTTACTATATTTTTTTAATTAAAAATTAAAAATTTAAATTTGTAATTGTTTATATTAATGAGATTTTAAATAAAACCCATAATTATGGGATTAAAAATAATAAAATATAAATTATTCTCTCTATTATATTGTGTGTGTATGTGTGTGTGTGTATATATACATATATGTATGGGTACATTAACCAAAATTAACAAAAAAAGTTATTGTACCAAAACATGGATACATTCTCAAATCAACGAAAAAGAATGTACCCATATAAGTTTAAACATGGATTAAAAAATTTGAATGAATTTTATATTAAAAAAGGGTACATTTTACATATAACAAATTGATATATTTGAGAATGGGTACATTTAAGATTAAAAAAATTGAAAAATTATATGAATGGGTACATTTAAGATTAAAAAATTGAGAATCTTTTTATATATAAAAAAAAACGTACAAACTTAATTTAATTTAATTTTTTATTATTTTGGAAATGTTTGAATTGAAAATTAATTAGAAGTTTAATAGAGGTGTGAGTATTAAACCCTAAATTAATTACTAATTTTTATATTAAAAAATTATATAATAAACATGTAAATTCATTATCACATTAATGCTAGGGACTTGAATCAAAATTTAAGAACTAATAAGGTGTTAGTCAATAAACAGTAAAAACTAGGGACCGGATACTAATTTTTCCATATATAATACACGGCTGTGTTGTCACCAGCAAGTATATGTGAAAGGGTTTTAGGCTTTAGGTGGATATGTTCTCATACGACTAGTAAATTGATGCAAATGCCCTTTGTTTAATTTTAGGATAGACAGTGGCCGGTCCCAGAGTTTTCTGACTTTGGTTTTTTCTGTTGTTCAATTGTGAGCAATGAGCCCGACAAAAAATGCACCTAACACAATAGAAAATGAGTTTTGATTACGTAGAAAATTATCATTGAAATTTTACAGAGTTTTTTCAGTGTGTCTAGCACGGACACATATGTCATATGTTATTATGTAAGTAGTGGAGGGACACTTGAAAAAAAAATCCCTCCATTTGTATATTTACATATGGCGTACAGCCACACTAAAAAATCTCTCAAAAGTTTTTGGCTTTAAAGAGATAGACTTGTAAATGTTTAGCTGAGAAATATTACATTTGTAGGGTTTTGTAGAAATATCATTTTTTTTTTAATTGATATGAGGTGTTTCGACAATCTGATGACATAATACGTAAAATCTCTAAAAATAAAATCAGTCGACATTGCATATTTCAAGTGAACCCAATTCTAGTGTGCCTGTAGATTAAATGACATTATTATTTCCTTCACAAACTCAACTGATCCTGCATGCAACTCCATCCAAAATAAGTAAACTTGACAATTTATATGTTATACAGTAGTTAATATAAAAAGGGTTGATGATATTAGGGTAGCTAATACAAAAAGTGAGATTCTTTGTATTTGGTCACGCTTTTCCAGCCACTTTTTGACTTCTTTTTTTTTTTTTTTTTTTTTTTTTTTACGTATTAGCTATCTCAACAACAGCTACGCTTGCTCAGTGATTTTTGTCCTTTTTTTCTTGGTGACATATCAATATGCAACCATATATAATTCCCATCATGACAGGCACATCCTGGAGTCTCCAAGCAAGATCGAAAGATTCTTTGTAGACTAATCGACAGTCGAAAACTCTCCCCAGAGGCATCTCTCCATGCAGCACAAAACGATCGCCTGCCTGTCCGAGCAGTAATCCAAGTCCTCTTTTCAGAGCAAAGCAAGCTTCACAGGAACATTGACTGGAGTGGCTCATTCAGCGGTAGCGCCAGAAGCCCGAACCCCTTTCTTGACCAGCCAGCGCGGTGCTTTTCGAAGCGTGAAATGAGTGCAATGCAGATGGAGATAAGGAACTTGAAGGAAGATGTGCTTAGGCTTCAAAACCAGTGCAACTCCATGCAAGTACAGGCAGAGAGGAAAGACAAAAAGAAAGGGTTATTTAAGTGGACTAGGAATTTGGGGATTTTGACTTCTTTTAGGGGTAATGTGGGCGTCGTGAAGATTAATGAGGGTGGAGATGGGGAGGTTGGGTATGGGAAACAAACGCCAATGGATATGAAGACCATGCTTGTTAGAGCTAGGGCTACTCCAAAGTGGAGGAAATCTGTATCTTGAATGTGAGAGAAAGAGTTGGGGGTTAATGGGTTTTTTTGTATTTATTTGTTTTACGTACCTTTTATGTTGTATGTTTTTTTATTGTGTGTTGTGACATGAGAAGTAATAAAGGTGATGATAACCGTTAGTTCTGCACAATATGTTCATGTTCATGTACATTTACATAAAATAAATTTGGAACCCACTAAGTCAAGAATCTTGTTAGACTTTGTATGATCATCTGAAAAAAGAAGTTTCGTACATATAGTTTATTTTGTCTAAGTTTAGAAGGGATGATACATCAAAACACCCCCCCCCTCCCCACCAACTCTGGGTTCGATGGCATTTTCATCCCTAACCACAACTCATCCGCTGATTCTTCAACATCAATCAGTTCATACCTCCACTTAGTTTCACCCAAGCTTCATCATGGTCATAGATAGATCGTCCAGATTCGGGTCCATAAGCAGTGACAAAATTGCCCTATGAAGACCCACCCCCCAGTTAAGCTATGAAGCTTCGTACACATGAAAAATCGGATATGCTATGAGGCTCGTGTGAATGAAACTCAAGACAATAAATCATAGTTAAGCACTTTTCAACATATAGTTCAAACATGGAAAATAGATTAGAGCACAATTTGATCAAGTCGAGTAGAGCATTGTGCTCTCTTTTTGCACATTTAGTCGAATCTTCCTCCACTTAATACAAGCATGAGGATATATGCTGAGCTGAGTGCGCGAGCTTTTAACTTAAGTTGTAATAACTTGTATTATGATCTTTTGGCCATTCATATGTGCCAAACAAATAAACTGTTTATCATGATGATGCTTGTAACCAAAACCTTCAGTTGGTTTGACACACACGGATGGCTAAACGATTTTCATTTTGAATGACTTTTTGTAGATATGATATTTAAATGATGATAAAGAAAATGAACGGTTCTAATTATGATGTTCCTACAATGAAGATACATTAATCTAAACTACATATTAATAGAACTTTTTTTGTCAACCAAAAGAGGGTGAAAAGACTATTTAGTTTTCTATCACAACAAAAAAGTTAAAGGCAGTAACGTAATTTTATAGAACAAATTTTGTTGTTTTTTGTTTAAACCTCACATACAAGCTACATATGGTTTTAACATCTCTAATTTTAAAAAATAAAAATATATAAAAAATAAACCTCTCCCCTCTCTTCCTCTATCCCAATCTCACATTCATTCTTACTCTCTTCCTTCTCTTTCAATTTAAAAAACGAAAATAAAAAATTTCACACTTTTGTGTGTGGAGGCAGATTGTCTGCCCTCCCATTTTCATACCCTTCCCATCCCCTCCTACATTGTGCGATCATGGTTAAGCCACGTCAACATTTTATATTCCTATTACTTTTTGTTTTATTATTTTTATAAAAAAAATCAATATAAAATGTTGACGTGGCTTAAGAGCAAGTCCACCCATGGACATTGCTTGGGGGACAGGGGAGAGGAAAGGGCTCGAGGCCTTGTGAACTTGCACCAGAGTTGAAGGAGCCCAAGTGGAGGTGAGGCCCGAGCTCCGGGCCTGTGAAGAATTAACAGCCCGAGAGCCCGAGTGGGTGTGACACCAGCGCTGGCGTCTGACCTTTTTTTTATTTTTTTCTGTCAGGCGCGTCGCCCGACCATTTTTCAGACAGAAAAGTTACCGTTGGGAAGTTACGTGGCTTCCCACAGTCCGTTCGATCTCAACGGCTCTTTAATTTGGACTGTTGGATCTCAATGGTAAAAAAAAAAAAAAATCTTATTTAATATCAACTGTTCTATCTGAGATCAACGGTCGATATTAATATGCTTTATAAATAAATAAAATAGTTTTAAAATTAAGAAAAGTTACCGTTGTGACACGTGACACAATCTGGAGTGTTTGAATTCAATTTTTTTTTTAAATCCAACGGCAGAAATTAATTATTTAAATAAAAAAAATTTTAAATTGTAAAAAATCCGAAAAAATATCTGATTTTTTTTTTTTAAATGTTTCTACTTTTCTATAAATACCTTCTCATTATCATCTACTTTACACCACAATTTCATATTTTCTCAACTACTTTCAATCACATTCCTATCTTTCTCTCAAAGTTTAAATCCAATTTTTTTCAACAAAATGACTACAGATGCAGGTACGAATTGATCGCTTCTTGAAGATGTTGCATTGTGTACTAGCGGGGTTGAAGTTACTCATAGTTCGTGTACGGGTAATGAGATGCAGTTGCGAGAAATGTGGAGTCTTATTCATACCAATTATCTTGAAAAAATGGGTAGGAGTAGAACCAAAGAATCGATGTCTAGTCGTTGGAAATTACTTAACCAATCGTTTAGTATTTGGAGAGACGCCTTGGCACAAGTTAGTAGTAATCTTTGAAGTGGGGAAAATTACACGGATCAGGTAACAATATATTATTTATTTGTTTGTACTATACCCAAATTTACATAGCAATTATTTGTTTGTATTATTTATTTGTTACCTACTTTAATTATAATTATTTGTTTGTATTATTTATTTGTTACATACTTTGATTATAATTTTTTGTTTGTATTATTTATTTGTTACCTACTTTAATTATATTTATTTGTTTGTATTATTTATTTGTTACCTACTTTAATTATAATTATTTGTTTGTATTATTTATTTGTTACATACTTTGATTATAATTATTTGTTTGTATTATTTATTTGTTACATACTTTAATTATATTTATTTGTTTGTATTATTTATTTGTTACCACTTTACTTATATTTATTTGTTTGTATTATTTATTTGTTACATACTTTGAGTATAATTTTTTGTTTGTATTATTTATTTGTTACATACTTTGATTATAATTATTTGTTCGTATTATTTATTTGTTACCTACTTTAATTATAATTATTTGTTTGTATTATTTATTTGTTACCTACTTTGATTATAATTTTTTGTTTGTATTATTTATTTGTTACCTACTTTAATTATATTTATTTGTTTGTATTATTTATTTGTTACCTACTTTGATTATAATTATTTCTTCTCTCCCATTGTGTAGCTAATTCAAGCACAAGCTTGGTATGGTGCCAAAACCAAAAGCAAAAATAAATCATTCAACCGGTGGGAATGTTGGAATATTGTCAAAGATTGACCTAAATTCAGAGATGTGCATGTCAGTCCAGAAGTTGTCATGAACAGCACCCCGCTATACTCTACACTTGATAATGGCTCGCATGAAGATGATGCAGAAAAAGTGCCCGAAACGCCCATCCCTGAACAAGCGTCGGGTTCGACCCGTTATCCAATTAGGCCTCAAGGTAAGAAGGCTTCAAAGAGAAAAAGAAAGTGCTTCCAAGCATGATTATGCAAAGTACATGGAAGAACTTACTCGCCATAGTGAATTGACTTTGGCGCGGGAAATGGCGAAATTTGAGGCTGATAAGGCTAGAGAGGAGGCAAAAGTTGCAGCTGTTGAGAGAGAATTTCAAGCTAATCAGAGAGAAAGAGAGCTACTTAAGCAAGAAAGGGAACTGGTTAGAGAAGAAAGAATAGCTCAACGAGATCGTGAGATTATGAACACGCCTTTAGAAGGGAAGTCTCCAAATTCTAAATATTTTTGGAAGTCAAAGAAAGAGGATGTGGTGCGTAGGAGGCGTGCAAGAGAAGCGAGAGCAAGAGGAGATGGTCTTAGCAGCACAAATTGGTTAAGTGATGATGAATATAGTACTTTTTGTAATCGGAGCCCATAGTTTTCCAATCACCTTGGGTTGTAATTTATTATTTATTTAATTGAGTATTTTATGTTGTATCCAATTTATTGAATTTAGTACTTTATTTAAACCTCACTAAATTTATTTAATATGGTAATATATTTATACTATAAGAGAATCTTTATTCAAATGACATAAACACACCAAATAAAAAAACTCACCAAATGAACACCAAATAAAACATACCAAATAAAATTACATAAACACACCAAATAATAAAAATCTCACTAAAATAAAACACACCAAATAAAATTACATAAACACACCAAATAATAAAAACCTCACTAAATGAACTAAAATAAAACACACCAAATAAAATTACATAAACATACCAAATAATAAAAACCTCACTAAATGAACTAAAATAAAACACACCAAATAAAATTACATAAACATACCAAATAATAAAAAACACACTAAATGAACTTAATTATCTTCAGCTTGTTTCAATGTCCACTGGTGCTCTATCAAGTCATGTTGCCTGGCATTGTGCATGTCTGGCCTTTGAAATGCAGTATATCGTTGAATGACCCTTTCATTGTAACGTCCATCCCTTTTTAATGGCTCATGTTGCACAATATATACGTGTTCTTGAATTGTTCATCGTATTTGGCTCATATTCATCAACGGCTTCATAATTGTACTCATCTTCCATAATCATGTTGTGAAGAATGATGCACGTCATCATGATGGATCGAAGCGACTCTACATCAAACAATCTGGCAGCACCCATGACGATCGCCCAGCGAGCTTGAAGGATACTGAAACAACGCTTCACATCCTTCCTGCACCCCTCTTGACACTTTGCAAAGTGTTTTTCCTTTGCACTTCGCGGACGTGGCACTGTTTTGACAAATGTTGACCACCTTGGATAAATGCCGTCAGCTAGGTAGTATGGCCCGTCGTACATACGTCTGTTGACCTCATATGTGACTTTTGGTGCCTTTCCTCATCATTTTCCTTCTCATTTTGGGCTATATGGAGATTGAACATTCCTTAAGATTGGTTAAACAATTCTTCCTCTTCTTGATCGATTTCCCACATCAGGCTTGAAGAAGAAAACATTGTAAGTAGAAACTATGAATAATGATACAGATTTTGATTTGGTGAACAAGGAAGCAGAAACTATGAATAATGATAGAGATATTGAGAAAATTGGTGTAAGATTTAAAATGATGGATGATATGGAGGATTTTGAAATGATTAGGTTGTAAATAGTGTCACGTGACATGCCGTCATTTGTTAAAAATCTCATCGAAATCTATTCTAAAAGATTCTGAAAAGATAACGACACGTGGCACGACGGCATTTGATAAAAATCTTATCGAAATCCATCACCAATAATTATCTTTTCGGATAATGACACGTGGCGCAACGAGAACGATTTAAAATCTAATCGAAATCTATCCTCAAAGATTCTGAAAAGATAACGACACGTGGCACGATGACATTGGATAAAAACTTATCGAAATCTATGACCAATAATAGTCATTTTGGGTAAATGACATGTGGCGCAACGAGAATGATTTAAAATATCTTATCCGAAATTACAAAAAAATTTATTTTGTAAAAAAAAAATTAATAAATATTTTATTGCCTATTGCCAGGACTATTCAAGTGCAATGGTGGAGATGCAAAAGACAGTTACTGTTCATTATGGCAGTTACTGTTCACATAGTGGATTGAATAGTGGATTGCCTGGGGGGAGGGCTCCAATGATGGAGTTGCTCTAACCGTGACCATACAAACAAGAAGGGATGGGAAGAGTATGGAAATGGGAGGGCAGACAATCCACCTCCTTTGTGTGTGAGTATATCCTGTAACTTAGTTATAAATAAAAGAACAAGTAAATTCACGGATAACACTTGTATTATCCTTTCCTTTTCGTTTTCCTTGTCCATAATTGGAGCTGGTTTGGATGAGAAAACAAAGATTTAGACACGATGACCAAATTGAATGGCCGTTTAAGTTGGTTAAACAGACAACTTTAGAGAATACATGTCCAGAAATAAAAACATTTATCCTTTAACCGTTAAACCTCATGCAAAACCCTCTGGGAAGACGATGCTCTGAGTGTCCAAAAATGGCGGTTTCAGCTAAAACCACTCAAATACCTCACTCTCCGCATCTTCCCAATCCTCAATTCCCCAAGACCCATAAGCTCGAAGCCATCGGTTTCTCTCACAAGCTCCAAACCCACCTAATTTCCTACAGAAAAACCCAAGAAATCACAGTCTGCAGCACCTCCTCTGTTTCCACACAGAACCCAAACTCTGATTTGAAAAAGCTTTGCCGCCATGGGAACCTTGAACAAGCTTTGAAGCTCTTGGATTCGATGCAGGAGGTTCAGGTTAAAGTGGATGAAGATGGTTACGTTGCTTTGGTTAGGCTGTGTGAGTGGAAGCGAACGCATGAGGAAGGAGCTCGCGTGTACTCGTACATATCGAATTCGACGACCCTTTTGAGTGTTCGGCTTGGTAATGCATTGCTGAGCATGTTTGTGAGGTTTGGTAATTTGGTTGATGCTTGGTATGTGTTTGGAAGAATGGGTGAGAGGGATGTGTTTTCTTGGAATGTTTTGGTTGGCGGGTATGCGAAAGCGGGGTTTTTCGATGAGGCTTTGAATTTGTATCATAGAATGTTGTGGGTTGGGATTGTGCCTGATATTTATACATTTCCTTGTGTTCTTAGGACTTGTGGGGGCGTGCCAGACTTGGCGAGGGGAAGGGAGATTCATTTACATGTGATTCGATTCGGGTTTGAGTCCGATGTTGATGTGGTTAATGCGTTGATCACAATGTATGTGAAATGCGGTGCTCTTGGTACTGCACGGAAGTTGTTTGATAAAATGCCTAGGAGGGACAGGATCTCGTGGAACGCAATGATTTCGGGATATTTTGAGAATGGAGAGTTTTTGGAAGGGTTGAAATTGTTTCTCATGATGCGCGAGTCTTCAATTTATCCGGATTTGATGACTATGACTAGCTTGGTATCTGCTTGTGAGCTTCTTGGGGATGATAAATTAGGGAGGGAAATCCATGGTTACATTTTGAGGACGGAGTTTGCGGAGGATGTTTCGGTTTGTAATTCTTTAATTCAGATGTATTCAATCATTGGGCATTTCACGGAGGCTGAAAAAGTTTTTTCTAGAATGGAATATAAAGATGTGGTGTCATGGACATCAATGATCTCGTGTTATGGCAATAATGCACTGCCTGACAAGGCTGTGGAAACCTACAGAATGATGGAGCGAGAGGGAATCATGCCAGATGAAATAACTATAGCCTGTGTTCTATCTGCTTGTGCATGTTTAGGGAATTTGGATATGGGTATGAAGCTTCATGAGCTTGCTTACCGGACTGGGTACATATCATATGTGATAGTTGCCAATACACTCATTGATATGTATTCTAAGTGTAAATGCGTCGATAAGGCTTTGGAAGTGTTCCATGGCATCCCCAGCAAGAATGTCATATCATGGAGTTCTATCATCCTTGGCCTTCGGACCAACAATCGGTGCTTTGAGGCTTTGATTTTCTTTCGGCAAATGAAACTCAGGCTGAAACCAAATTCTGTTACCTTGGTTTCTGTCCTATCTGCTTGTGCAAGAATAGGAGCTTTGATGTGTGGAAAAGAAATTCATGCCCATGCATTAAGGACTGGTGTAGCATTTGACGGTCATTTACCCAATGCACTTTTAGACTTGTACGTAAGGTGTGGAAGGATGGGACCTGCATGGAACCAGTTTAACTATAACAAAAAGGATGTTGCAGCTTGGAATATCCTATTAACTGGGTATGCACAGAGGGGTCAAGGAAAGCAAGCAGTTGAGCTATTTCACAGTATGGTTGAGTCCGGGTTAGATCCGGATGAGATCACATTTATTTCACTATTATGTGCTTGCAGTAGGTCTGGTATGGTTAGTGAAGGGTTGGAGTATTTCAGAAGCATGAAACTTGAATATTTTATTACACCTAATCTGAAGCACTATGCGTGTGTAGTTGATCTACTTGGTCGTGATGGTCAATTGGATAATGCGCACGAGTTTATACAGAAGATGCCTATAAATCCCGATCCAGCTATATGGGGAGCCTTGTTAAATGCATGCATGATCAACAAGAAGGTTGAACTTGGTGAGCTTGCAGCTGAGCAAATTTTTAAGATGGATACAGAAAGTGTTGGGTATTACGTACTTATGTGTAATCTCTATGCTGACAGTGGAAAATGGGAAGAAGTGGCACTAGTAAGAAAGATGATGAGGAAAAGGGGCCTAACTGTAGATCCTGGATGCAGTTGGGTGGAGGTAAAGGGAAAAGTTCATGCTTTCCTAAGTGGTGATAATTTGCATCCTCAATTTAAGGAAATAAATGCAGTTATGGACGGATTTTATGAGAAAATGAGATCTGCGGGTGTCAAAGAGCCCGAAACCCGTCCAACAGATGAATTTGAAGCTTCAAAAGCTGAGATCTTCTGTGGACACAGCGAAAGACTTGCAGTTGCATTTGGGCTCATTAACACAGCGCCTGGGATGCCTATATGGGTGACTAAGAACCTTTACATGTGCCAAAGCTGTCACAGTACTATCAAGTTTATCTCTAAGGTTGTGCGTCGGGAGATTTCTGTAAGGGATACAGAAAAGTTTCACCATTTTAAGGATGGCTCCTGCACTTGTGGGGATGAAGGTTACTGGAGAAACTCCGACAAATGAGCTGCTGGAGGAATATTTAATCTTAGATAAATGTGGGGCAGCGGATAATTTGGGCTCAAAGAAGATGTGCAACAGAGATCTCAGGAGAGGAAGTAAGCTGCTTATTACAGTACACTACCACTAGGAAAAAAAAGATAGGGGCACTGTGGGTGCACTTTAAATTGATATTTTTTCAATACTACCCTTCTCGGGGGTAATTGTTATCTCAGAACAGTTAATATGTTGTACCTTTATCTTTTCTGCTTTTGAGTTTTTTATATACATAATTACCCTGTAAAGGAGGTAATGGTTTAGAAAATTGTATAGATACGATATGATGTCGGATTTATCTGTCTAACCGTTTTCCCAATACCATTTATGCTTTACCACTACACTTTTGGGGCAACCTTATAAGCTCGAAATACAAATGTGGCCTTCGGTAATGTGGTTGTTTATGCAATACAGCATTATTAAACCACAAACTTTCTCCACCACCAATGGATATGAATGCTGGACTGGATATGCAGTGAACTTATCGGTACATTGTAGAGCGCTGTCTATCTCTTATGCACTAATGCTTCTAAATGTGTGATTCGTTTGTTTGGATTTGTTTTCTGCAGATATGGACGCTTCTGTTCGACTTTCACGTAAGGCCTAAAAAGTAATTCAACTTTCATTATCACGCATGACATACATTTGTATGAGTCTGCATCTATTCCATTTAACGGAGCTCGTGGTAATATCTAATGTCTTCCTTATCAGATTTTCTTCTTCTGCATTGTTGTAGACTTTCTAGCTGAACATTTGAGATGATTCTGGCAACCGAAATCTTACAAGGAACTTGAATAGGATCCTTATATAGGTAAAATAGAGAATGCATTAGTAAAAAGTACAACTAGCTGTCATCGCAAATCAATCTTATACACAAACAACATTATAAATGAATACAATGGAGAAGAAAAAGAATGAATACAGTTGAAGGCGTCATCGCCTTGCTTGCACTCTTTACTGAAGAAAAACATACCTAAGAAAAATTTATAAGGAATACAATGGAGAAGAAAAAGAATGAATACAGTTGAAAAATAGACGTGCAACTGAACTTCTGTTCATATTTTCACTCCTTTCTTGATTGTTTTTATAGATGACTTCATAAATTTGTTTCCCGTAGCATAGCTCTCTTCATCATCACTGGTTACCATGGGCTTCTTTCGTATGCAGTCAACACCCTTTTTCATGCCCAAAATTATAGATGGAGAAGATGGGATTCGTCGAAAGACTCTAGCACTCTCAGACCTTGTAAGTTTTCTTTCCTTTCCGTTACTATGGTCCCTTCTTTCCCTCCCTTCAAAACTCTTCCTGCTAACAACTCCCTTAAGGACCTTAACAGGAGTATGCACTTGATGTGCATTTTCATTCTTCTCTTGGACAATTAACTGCTGCTTCAGTACACCTGCTTTAGCATCAGCCTCTGGACACTTAAGATTCTTGACTTCCTGTGGGTACTTCAAATTCATTTGACTGATTATATCACTGGTCCTGTGTTTTTCATTTGCACCTTCTTCAACTTGACTGATTATATCACCGGTCCTGTGCTCTTCATTTGCACTTTCATTCTTAGGATCCAACTCTTCTGGAGAACTATCCAACAGAATCTGAAGCCACTTCTCTACATTCCCCTTGCCACGTTCTTTTCTGCTCTCTTCATCTTCCACAATCTCTGGTTCTCGAATGACAGGGAATTGAAATTTGTGCTTCCCTTCTATTTGCAGTGTCCGCATTTGATTCTCTAACAAGCTCTCATCCTCTAATGCAACACTGTATCTGGCCTGCTCTCTGAGGTTGTCAATAGACAAACGTTTTTTCGGTCTTTCCAGTTCCTCGTACAGTTGAATTCTTCTATCGTCTTCATTCTGTGATAAAGCAGCATCAGATGCCTTCTGTTCTTCCTCTAGAAATACCCTTAGTTCCTTACGTAAAGGCGTTCTTGGCTTGGTTGCTGGTAGACAAAGGACCATCTTGCTATCCCTCTCCTCAGCTAATGCATCATCCATTCTCGACCTTTTCCTTGCTTGTTCCCATTCAGGCCGTATCTGTGTCTCAAGCTCATCTCTTTGTTTGTATTTCTTATGAAGTTCTTTCTCCGATGCATCACATATTGCCTTTTGTGCCTCAAGTCTTGCCATGAGCGCACTACTTGCAGCTTGGTTCAGTCTCAGTTGCTCCTTGTAAATGACAGACCTTAAGCAAAAACAAAAAGGGAAAAGGGTTAATGAATCAGTCTGTAAAACACATTTTATAAAGGCCAAAAATGATAAATCCTCTACTCAGATCGTTGTTTATTAATCTTACTGGTGCATAGCATCTCGAATCATCTTTTCGAGTGTGGTCCTATATGATGATTGTGCCTCTGCTAGTCGCCGGCACTTCTCTGCTCTTCTCCTTCGCTTTATCAACGTCAGCTCCAAGTTTTGAATGGTGAGCTTCTCATCTTCATTTTTTCGCCTCAATTCATTCACTTCATCATCCAAGTTGTGTATCTCAGCCTGCATCTTTGCAGTTTGTTCCCTTTGTTTTAGGGAATCTCTTGCCATGACAATCGCTTGGTATGGGTTTCTAACGAACTCCGGGTTCTCATTTTCTTTCAAAACTGCATGTTTCCCATTTCTTGCAGCTAACACAATCCAAAACCAAAAAAAAAAAAAAAAAAAAAAAAAAGGATTATGAATTACAATACTCGTTATTACTAAACAGACAATAAAAACTGTTGAGTAGTTGTTACTTAAGCACTAACCAATTGCAGGAGATTGTGGCCTTATCTGCTTATTGTAGTCCAGGGATTTCAAAGCAGATGAAGAACCATATGACTCTCTTCGAGATACAACAATGGCAGCCGGAGCTAGGCCCAAATGCTCTTTCGATTCCACATAATGTTGCGGAAAAGCGTGGGACTCTACCGTCTGTGAAGAATTGAGCTCCTCGCATTCACCTTCAGCGAAGAGAAACGAGAATGCCCTGTGCCTGCCAATGTTGTGAAAGGACACAATATGTCATAAGTCAATGTTTTTGAAACAAGAAGCGTGTATGAAGAGAAATATGAAGTAGACTTCCACCTGAAATCGGCATTGGTAGAAGCAAATATCGATAAGAACTGGTTGACGGATATACCCAACTGAAAATCCCACCATGGAATGAGAAATTCAAGCATGTCATGCTTCCTCTTGCAGGCTTGCCATTGCAGTATCCTCAAATTGCTTGGGACAGTCAATCCTCCCCCTAAATTTTCAGCAAAAATGACCGGAGATTACAAATATGTAGAGAGAGAGAGAGAGAGAGAGAGAGAGAAGATAGAGCTATATACTTGAGCAAGGAAACCAGTGATCTATGTCCCAAGCAAGAGGAGAAGCAGAATCAGCATGGAAATACAGAACGTTGCCATACGAGTCTACTCGAATTACCGCAGGATCAAAGCCGGCATTCCTGAAATTCGAAGTAAGTATAAAGTCAAGTAAAACAACATCATTGTTGAATTCTCCAAGTTTTCTAATTTTGAAGGTTTATGGAGCAAAATCAAGAGATTTACCCAAGGTGGTTGAGCTGCTTCCACAAAAGACTGACGAAAATCTTCGGCCTGGCAGTAGGTTTCGCTTTCGGGTCAATAACCGGAAACATCTGCTCTAAATCTCTTGCTCTCAGATCCTGAAAAACCACATCACCTCATAAACCCAGCATTCCCAGAATCAAAGAAAGAAAACAACCCAATTTACATTTCTCTCACTTTCCTGGGAAACAAACAGAAAGTTAAAAGTTTCACTTCTCATACCTCCTCTTGCTGCAGACAGTAAGGCATGAAAGTGAAAGGAGGGCCATGGCTGTAAGGTCCAACGCTGCGGTCGCGGCAGAGCTTCGCGTAGGCTTTTGGGTACCCGAGGCCGTCATCGATTTCCATTTCGCCTCCGGTGAATGCGTAATCGAAAGCCATTGTTCTTCGATTGAGTGCACGGAAGAAAAACAGGGGAAGCAGAGGCGTTTTGTTGGCTGAGATTCAAGTTAACGGTCACATTGGTTGTTTTCTTTTTTCTTTTAAAAAGGTTGGAGAGTTGAAGATTTGGTTGACACGTCAGCAAACGGTAAGGCGATGGTGCAACGGCTAGAATAGGGGGGGGGGGGGGATGGTCCACAGTGGTTATGATAATTAAATTTTTGTAACAAAGTCTTGACCACTCTTCCATACATCTTGGATTTTTATATAATTAAAATTTGGGACCTAGTTGTTTGATTTTACATTTCTTCCCCCTCCTTTCATTTCAATTTGATAGGAAAAGGATTTTGTCAAGACTTTGAGATGGGGTAGATGTAAAAAAAAAAAGAAGGAAAAAAAAAGAGGGGAGAGAAGTTTATTTGATTTTTTATGGTATAGTTATTTTTAATTATCTGTAAATTTAGATTGCCACACGATGAAATGATTTACTAAAACAGTAAAAAAGATGATATTGTTTGAACACATATCGCACTGTAAATTATATGTGAGAAGACATTGATTGTTAATCATGAACATTTTCCTCGTGATATAAGGTGGAATATGTTTGATGGGAAATTTTAAAGAGATTTTATTAAGTACTGCGTATTTAAAGGGTGTTTCATAATATAAGTAGAGGAAGTTATAATCTTTTATACAGACCATTTATGCAAAGGGATCCTTATTTAAAAAAAATAAAATAATAGGGATTAGGTGTGGGGCTCACTCCACATCGAACTTTACGATCCAAATTGTCTATTTTATAAGTCTTGATACATAGACCATCTTTGCCAAAAATTCAATTCAATCTGAAATCATTTGCCTATTTAATTATCAAAATAAAATTTCATTGTTTCTTATATAACAAAGTATTCGTTAATTTCTTTGAACCCAATTAGATGTCTTAAACATTTCTAATTTGACTAATATTTTGCAAAGATGATTTATGAAGTGCAACTTGAAAAATAGACGGTTCGAATCGTTAACGTTCGATGTAGTGTAAATCTCATGACTAATCCCCATTTTTATAAACAAATGAAGATCCCTTCCCCTAAAAACTTCTTGTTTTTATATATCCCTCCGCTTATTTTACAAGCAACCGCTAGAATACCTTTCACTTGAAGGGAAAAAAAAATCGACATTTGTTCAAGTCAAAAGCGATATTGAAGCAATGATTTCTTCATCATTTGATGTTTGAACAAAAAATCAACACACCAGTAAAAGCAGCAGAAAGGCCCTTTTAGCTCAAGTCGAATCCAATATTCACTTTGCCCTCAGGGCCTACAAAAAAGAGGGCCGGCTAGCGTTGTCCGGTCTTTCCAAACATCATTATTGTTCTTGGACTTCTTTAGTTTAGGGTTTTATAGTTTAACAAAGCTAAGAAAGGAATTTAGTTCAAAATCAAATAAAATCTTTTCATTAGCCATATATTAATGAGAAATTTCTTTTGTATAGGTCAATAAGGAAGTCCCAAGATCTTATCTTATAATTAAATGTAAAGCAACGTTTTTGTTCCTTGCTAATATCAACCCTCCTGATATGTTTGCTGATGTCCTGATTGAGGAGAGTTCTCATCGCAATTTTAGTTGATGTTGATGTAACTTTAATGCTTTCTAAGCATAGCTAACTATAGTTAAGTTGTTTTGTGCATGACATTCTTTTTCCTTCGATTGGGTTGAAATTCCCGGCAATGTTTTTTATCGAGACCCTTTTATGCACACTATCCTTTTACATTGTATGTTTTCTCCTCTTTAATGAATATCGTACTTTAAAAAAAATGCATTAGACCAACTCCAATCCTTGGCCTAAGGCCAAAACAAATTTAGGCTTTTCATTTTAGGCCTTTGGCCAGAAAATTGTCTTTTTCATCCAATGGTATGGCCTAAATTTTATGCCAGAAAAAAATTTTAAATATTGTTTTAGCCTTTTTTTTCATTTTTTTTCCATGAGCTTTTTGAAAAATAATATTTATTAAGATTAACTTAGCTTAATTTTATAAGCATTTTAACCTAAAAATATTTAAATTTCAAGAAAGTATGAAAAATCACACAATAGACACATACGAACCACACTTTCAAAAAATTTGTGTGGAACAAGTGCATGTATGAACAAATGGATGGGTATTTATAGTGTTTTGGGGGTGAAATTTGAGTTAAATATATATTTTTAATTATCACAGCCTTTAGGTTTTAATTTGGGTCGTTGGATCATTTTTTACCATTATATTTAACTCATTTGATCATAGCCATTGGATTATAAGTAAAAGTAAATAAACGTTTTTTATTTTATTTTTTGAAGGCTTTTTAGCCAAAATAATCATTGAGATTTGCATAACTTCTCACTTTGGTCCATGAGATTTCAAATCAATAGAAGTGGTCCCTAAGATTGTCCACCGTCCATCATTTTGGTACTTCCTTTAAAAACTCCGTTAAGTGTCCTGAAGCTCTCGGCCGGAAGTTTGGGCAATTTTCAAAGCTTCGTAACTCAATCGTTTCTTAACCAAATTCGACCCATAATTTATCAAAATGAAGATAGGAAAGTGTAGAATATGATTATACCTATTTGGAAGTCCAATGGTTGCCGGAGGTGGTCGGAAATAGCCTCAAAGTTGACTGTTCCGAGGGAAAACTGGAAAACTCGCAGGAAACTAAGTAATCTTTAAACGTTCATAACTTCTTCAATACTCAACGAAATCAAGTGATTCAAAAATAAAAATCATACTTCTCAATGAAACGAAGAGAATGATACCTTTTTTCGGCTAACTGGCCATGATTTGGTCGAAACAATGGCTCAAAAGTGGCAAACTCGAGACCATGATAACCAATTTCAACCCATTTTCTGGTCAAACCACTGTGAGTTAGCCTCTGAAAAATGTACCATTATCTTCTTCTCGTCTAGAAGTATGATTTTCGTTTTTTGAATCACTTGATTTCGTTGAGTATTGAAGAAGTTATGAACGTTTAAAGTTTATCTAGTTTCCGGCGAGTTTTTCATCAGACCAGTCAACTTTGAGGCTATTTTCCGACCATCTTCGGCAATCATTGGGCTTCCAAATAAGTATAATCTTATTCTACCATTTCCTATCTTCATTTTGATATATTATGGGTCGAATTTGGTTAAGAAACGATTGAGTTACGAAGCTTTGAAAATTGCCCAAACTTCCTGCCAAGAACTCCGAGACACTTAACGGAGTTTTTAACGGAATGACCAAAATGATGGATGGTGGGCAATCTCAGGGACCACTTCTATTGATTTGAAATCTCAGGGATCAAAGTGAGGAGTTATGAAATCTCAGGGACTATTTTGATTAAAAACCCTTTTTGAAATATGATTGTTGATCAATCAACGATCATTAATTTTAGCCGCACGATATGCAAAGCTATTAATGGTGGCCGACGTGCCTGTCAGTAGTGGGCCCTTTAGCGTGTCGTTGTGCTAGGCAAAACGTGGAACTTACGCTCAAAGGTGGCTCCTACTCATTTTGGTCGTGGCCTAGATCTTGCTTTTTCATTTTTCATGTTTTTTTTTCTTTTGCTTGGGCCAATTATTTTGCCAAGGTCAAAAGGCGAAAGGCCTAAAAGTACTGGCCTTGGCCAATGTTGAGTTGGTCTTAATATATCTCAATACATGATTGATCTAATGTATAAATATTGTTGAAATTATTGTTAACACTAAACATTTATTGATAGAAAAAAGGGAGACTTTGAATGCGGTCCTTAGCTATGAATATTCTTTGATTGAAACCTTGTTGGTTTTTAATTTTTGATCGAGGTCCCTGAAATTAATGTGATAATTTATTTCTATGTACGTTACTATATTTTTTAAATTAAAAATTAGAAATTTTAGTTGATTATATAAATGAGATTTTAAATAAAAAACCATAATTTGTGGGATTAAAAATATTAAAATATAAATATACTATTGTGTGTGTGTGTGTGTATATATATATATATATAAACATGGGTACATTCATCAAAATTAACCAAAAATATTATTGTATCAAAAGTTGGTGTACATTCTTCAAAATGACCAAAAAAAAAAAAAAGATATTAGGCTTAACAACATTAGTAAATTTCTTGGATTAAACTTGACATGGATACATTTTAAAATCAAAGAAAAAAGAATGTACCCATATTAGTTTAAAAAAGGATTAGAAAAAAAAATTGAATAGATTTTATATAAAAAAAAAGGGGTACATTTTACATATAACAAATTGGTATATTTAAGAATGAGTATATTTTAACATTAAAAAGTTTTACATGAATGGGTACATATAATTAGCATGGGTACATTTAGCAAAATAAAAAGTAAAAAATAATATATATGGGTACAAATACAAATAAACTTTAAAAATATGGGAAAAAAAAAATTTAATATATGGGTACAAATTAAAATTGAAAAAAAATTGGTACAAATTAAAAAAAAATTACAAATTAAAAATGGGTACAAACTAAAACTAAAAATATATGATAAAAAATTTAGTTATAAATATAAATATACTAATTGTAACATTTTTAACATTAAATGAATATATTTAGAAATAAAAAATATATTTTATTATTGAAATAATTAATGATATTATTTCTCCAAGGACCTTGATCAAAAATTGAAAAGGAATAAGATTTTAATCAATGGAGTAGCAAAATGAAGGATGAGAACCTAATTTTTCCTAGAAAAAATCACCCAAAAACAAAAGGAAAGTGAATAAGCTAATCAATTTTTTAAATGTGGTTGCAAATCGAATGACGACTCCAACTACTTCAACGACATTTTTGCTTTTCCAATTCTTTAGAGCTTTCTTTATCTTTCACGTCTATAACAAAAACGATTGTCTTACACAAAGAAATATCAAATACAATTGACAAACATATTGTAATTTGACATGAAAATTTTGAATTATTGAGTGAATGTAATTGAAGGCCTTAAGAGTTGCCACTTTGAGTTTCTATGCATCCCTTGAACACTACTTTCAAATGTTTGACAGAATGTCTTAATGGACTATTGTGCAGTGCTTGCCTTCACATGATTTGTTGCATGCTTAATTGATATGT